GATGAACAGAATTGGTGACAGAGGGCAGCCCGACTGGAGTGTGGAAACAAATCTGACTTATTGCAGGCAATGCAAACCAAACTCCTGCTCTGTTCCTACGGGGACCAGACAGCCCTTAACAGAGCGCCTCTGACCCCATATTCCCAGAGCACCTCCTACAGAACGCTACAAGGTAGACGGTGGAATGCCTTCTCCAAGTCCACAAAACACATGTGGACTGGTTGGGCATGCTCCCATGAACCCTTGAGCACCCTGGTGAGGGTATAGAGCTGGTCCAGTGTACCACAGCCAGGATGAAAACTGCATTGTTCCTCTTGGATCCTAGGTTCACCCATCGAACTAAAATGTTTATGTTTTATTTAGCGCTGTCAAAATTAGTGCGTTAACGCATGCGATTAATTTTAAACAATTAACACGTTAAAAAAATGAACGCAATTAACGCAGTTGCAGGTTTTTTTTACTTCCTGTTGTGGTGGACGTGTGTTCAACATGCAATAAATGCGGATAAGACCAAGCAAGCACTGTTTGAAGACATTGAAGTGATCATGCGTGTTGAATCTGAGGGGAGTCGCTCCAGTATGGAAGGCCGTTGGGGCCAAAACGTCTGCAGCGCGTTGTATCTGTGTCAGGCCTGTTGAGGGGTGTCAGGGGTGAAGTGAGCGACGTATCTGAGAAGGGTCGAGAGGGGTGTGCAATGTATTTAACGACCAGTTTGCAAGAAATTATCATACATTTGCGGGTATTTGGGAGTCTCTGTGCACTTGCGGGATACTCCTAGTCTTAGCAACTGGATGAATGTAAAGGAGGATTAAACTAAATTGTTTCTACTCTATAATTAATGTTCTCAACTCACAGCAATAAAACTTTACAATGAGTGCAACCGTTTGTATTCTATAGTTTATTATTATAATTTTTCATTTTCCATATCTGCAATTCCTGTATTTTAGCATTTTTTTTTGGAGTCCACTTAGAATCCAACATGGAAATCAATGTTTTCTTTATTGGCATTGATTTCTTTAAAATTTAAATGTCATTAACATGCCTGTGTTTTAATTTCTGTAATAAATATGGCTGTCAAGAAAAGGATCTTGATGGTTTATTGTATGTTGTTTACATGAAGAAATCTGTGTTACAAGTTAAACAAAAATTCTATCCAACAATTATATTTTGAATTTTAATATTTTTGTCTTGCGTTTACATTAATTTTACATTTATATAGCCAAAATTACAAGTTTCAGTATTTTAAATGCAATTAATTTTTTTTAAAAGGTGCGATTAATTAGTTAATTTTATTTTTTTTATCGATTGACAGCACTAGTTTTAATTGTTTAGCTGCATGTCATAGTTTTTCCACTGTGAACATAAATATGTTTTAATGTAATACTGAAATATTAAGTTAAAGTCACAGGGGGTGACAAATGAGTGTTATTTCTGACGGATCAGGAAACAAGTGTGTATCTGCACACAAAAACACACTGATCCCAGAACAGCAGGACAAGCGGAAAACATTAGTGAACTCTACAACACGGCAAACACAGGTGACTGAATAACACATCACATTTAGACCATCATGAGCGCATGGAGACTCAATCAACTTTCAAAAACAAAGTGACACTATAAAACACGTCAGAAGAGCAGCACCAACATGCAGCTAAACATCTCCTTTTGACTCCCACAGCAGAAACAAAGTGAACTCTGGCAGTATGCGAGCCTGAATAAATGAGTTAATATTTGGGTGAAGGACGCCTTTAAGAGGCTCAGGAGAAAGGGGATTATCCATCAGCGTTCCTGAGATGTTCTCAGCGCTGAGGTCGAGCTGTGCTTCCTGTTGACTTCTCTATCACTGCAGTCAGGAAGCTCATGATCAGACATCACGGAAAACAGTCCAAAGCAAGCACAGACGGCACTAGTTCACATTCAAACACTGATCCGACATTAATTCTGCAGGTTCATTATCAGCTACATAGCTCTGCTACACGCCTTTAAAACACAGAATAAATGTGAATCTGAGATCTGGGGTGAAGATGGATTTTTTTAGTTCTGCTACTGCAAGATTCAGTCCCACTCCTGCAAAAATACATCTTATTTTCTCCTACTCCTGCCAGCAGTATTCAGGTTTTGTCCTGTTCCTGCCCACAAAGGCCCTCAGGTAAACATATACAGTTGAAATCAGAATTATGAGCCCTCCTGAATTATTACCCCCCTTCAGCATAAGCCGAAGATAATTTGAACACAATCAAAAGATAATCAGTATATAACCAGAACATAAGCTGAAGACAACCAGAACATAATCAGAACATAACCTGAAGATAACCAGAAAATAACCTTAAGATAATCAGAGCATAACCTGAAGATAATCAGAACATAACCTGAAGATAACCAGAACAAAACCTGAAGATAATAAGAACATAATCAGAACATAACCTGAAGATAATCAGAACATAACCTGAACATAACCAGAACATAACCTGAACATAACGTGAACATAACCTTAAAATAAACAGAGCACAAGCTGAAGATAACCTAAACAAAATCAAAAGATCCAGTCCATAGAACATAACCTGAAGATAACCTGTACATAATCAGAAGATAATCAGAACATAACCTGAACACAACCAGAACATGACGTGAACATAATTACAAGACAATCAGAACACAACCTTAACATAACCAGAGCATAAGCTGAAGATAATCTAAACACACCCAAAAGATAATCAGTCCATAACCAGAACATAACCTGAAGATAACCAGGACATAACCAACACATAGCCTGAACTTACCCAGAACATAACCTGAATATAATGAGAAGATAACCAGGACATAATAAGAAGATAATCAGTACATAACCACAACACAAGCTAAATATAATCAGAACATAATCAAGTTCACTTGAACTTGAATATAATAACCTGAAAATACCCACAACATAACCTGAAGATAACCTGAACATAATCTACCCCAAAGTAGGTTAGCCGTGCAGTGTAAAATACTGTACCATAGCAAAAAGAGTAACTAAAGCAGAGCTACAGTACCTTCATGGCACCTAAAACCCATGATTAGCTAAAAACTAAACAAAAAATTAGCTGGTTAGCTATTCTGGCCTTATGGTACAGGCCTCTGCTGTCTGTTTATCCAGCCTCACACACTTCACATGTTTACTGGGATCAGACAAACCACATTAGAGCAGCCACAGCAGGACTCAGACTGAAGATTCAACACTCATTACTGCTTTATGAGTCTGCTGTTCACTACACGGACAAAACTACAGTCAATAAAAACCCCACAGTCAAAACAAGAACACATAAACCAAGGACACATGACTGTTGTGCTTCAAAACAGAGTAAAACTGCATTTTTTAAAAGCTCAAATGCTGAAAAATGCTAAATGTAAAGTTCAATATTTCAAATAAACAATGATAGTATTGGTTATTTTTATTTATTTTTTAAGGGATAATGTACTGTAATATAATGGTTGTTTTCACAAAATAAAGCCCAGCAGGTTCATTAGGAGCTGTTGATTTTATTTTGTGAAATCAACTGGCTGGATGTACTTTATCCTGCTAATAAACTAATACACAACATTGATCTGATCTGTAATAATTTACTCAGAAAAAACGGTTTACTTATAATAATAATAATAATAATGGTGATATTAATAATAATATTATATTAATATAATACGATTATTATTAATACTATAATTACTGTTAATATTCAGCCTCATTTATTGTTATGATTATTATTATTATTATTAATAACAATAATATATGTAATAATAATAATTATTATAATCAGATTGAATAATAACACTAATTAAAGTATTAATAATAATCTTATTATATTAATATAATATTATTATTAATATCACCATTATTATTATTATTATCATTATTATTATTGTTATTATTATTATTAATAATAATAACAAAAACATATGAAATAATAAATTATATTAATAATTATAATAATATTTATAGTAATAAATGAGACTGAATAATAACAGTAATTATAGTATTAATAAAAATCTTATTATATTAATATATTATTATTACCATTATTGTAATAATATATGTAATAATAATAAAAATAATAATAACAACATATTAATATAAAATTAATAATATTAATACTACTATTACTGTTATTATTATTCAGTCTCATTTAATAATAATAATAATAATAATAATAATTATTATTATTATTATAATATTGGATTTAATAATAATAATAATAATATTTTTATATTAATATTCTACTACTACTTATACTAATATTATTATTATTTGTGTCTCTACGTTATAAAAATATTTCCCTGAGAATGTGTTTTAATCTTCTGCAACATCAAATGCTTTTCTAAACCAAACACAAGTTTAAAGGGAATGTTCTGGGTTATTTACAGCTTGAAGTTTATGCACAGAATGCATGACATGTTGACACTGACCACAGAAAATAATTCAAATGGAAGAAAGTCATGTAATGATCCATAAAGCACTGTTCACATGAGCATGTTTACATCTGTCTGTCTGCACAAAACAAATGAGATGCTGTGAGCTTCCTGATGATCACATGACCTTCACACGAAAACAATTTCAGCTTTAATAAAATTATGCTTTTTTCAGTGAAAATGTATAAATATTTAAGTACTAAAGCGCTGTCAATAAAGATCATTTGTAAAATGCAAATAAAAATAATTTCAGCAAGGAAACGGCTTGCACCACTAGTGGGTTGTGAGGGCCCCCTAGTGGCAGCGGGGCCCAAAGCAGCTATGGAACATGCAAACTCCACACAGAAATGCCAACTGGCCCAGCCGGCCCATCTATCATTCACAAAAAGTGAGCAGCACAAACACTATTCATCTTAAATACTGCTATCAAAGCCTAACAGATTCCTCACAGATCAGAGCGAGTCCTCTGGCGACAGCAAGAAACAAGAAAAAGAGACAGCAGAAGAATGAAGAACAAGAAGTGGATGCTGATTGGTCAATTGTGAAGCTCCACCTACCCGTTCTGCTGCTCCCCTTTGCTCTCCATTAGGCCACGCCTCTGGCCCATAGCAACCTCACATGCGTTCTGATTGGAGTACAGGCTTATGGGCGTGTTATAAACAGACGAATGAGGCGTGGCTGAGGCTGGGGGCGGAGCCGGAGCCGGAGCTGTCACTCTTGCAGGGGAGGAGGAGCCGGAAGATGATGCGGAGGAGGAGTTGGCAAATGGGGAGCGGCCGGATGATGGTTTGGGGGCGGAGTTAGAGGCAGGGCTAGATATGGAATTAGGGGAGGGCTGTGAGCGCTGGGCGGAGCCAGCAAGAGGGAATGGAGGCTGCGGCGGCTGCTGGGAGGGAGCAGCAGGAGTGAAAGCAGAAGAGGCTGATGGGATGGAGGCTTTGGGTGCAGCGGGGGATGGACTGACGGATCGGACAGTGTTTGTGGCCCCGCCGAAGGGACGAGCCGTCTTATTATAGGCAGGGGTCAGACCGACAGGGCTGCTGGCGGACGCAGGGGTTTGGCTGATAGGAACCGGCTTTATGATCTCCAGCGGCTCCTCCTGATGAAACACATGCAAAACACATGCTCACGACACAGCACACACACATGCAGGAGTCACCGGCCCTCACTACACATCACAAACACACTGATAACATCCCTACAACACTTTCAAGCACTAGAAAAATGTCATTAATAATCTGAACTGTTGATTTAAGAGGGATAGTTCACCCAAAACCCTCATTTTTGGGTGAACTATACCAGTGTTTCTCAACCACGTTCCTGGAGGACCACCAGCTCTACACATTTCCACGTCTCCTCAACCAAACACGTCTGATTTAGATCATCAGCTCATTAGCAGACACTGAAATACCTGTAATGGGAGTGACTGACAAGGGAGACATCCAAAACATGCAGTGTTGGTGGTCCTCCAGGAACGTGGTTGAGAAACACTGAACTAAACCTTTAATAACAGTGCAAACTTTACAATTAAAATCGCTTCAAATTCAGTCCTACATTTTTATTTTTGTGTGTGAACTGACTGTAATGAGGGAAGCAGAGTAACCCACAGATCAACAGATCATGCTTTTTAAACACACTCCACACACACACAAACACACACACACACACACACACACACGCACACACACACACACGCACACACACACACACACACACACACACACACACACACACACACACACACACACGTGTGCATGTACACTGCATGTGTGTCCTAACCAGGCCTGATTCAGAGCTATGAAGATCAGCAGCTGCTACGTGTGATTGCTTGCCTATAAGCTGCCTTGTTTATACTCTGCCACTCACAACTGGAAGCCCCGCCCACAGAGAATTCTCATTGGTCCAAATTCTCTTCTTTATCAATGTATTTTGATGACTTACAAATACTGAAAGTTTTTTTTAATAAAAGTGTTTGGCTAAAGAGAAATAAATAAATGGAAAAAAAGTGAAAAAAGAAAAAAGAAGTTAATAAAAGTAAAATAAAATTGACTAATAGAATTAAATAGTAACATTTTAAAAATATATATATTTTTAAAAACATGAATAACAATTTAGTTTAAAAAAAAAACTATTAAAATAAAAAGTAATTTAATTTAAAAATGTAGTTTAGTAAAACTATAAATTAAATAAATACAATACATTTTTTTATATAAAACATTTGTTTTGGATAAAAGTGTTTGGCTAAAGATGAATAAATAAGTAAAAATGAAAAAAACAAAAGTAAAACCAAAAGAAAGTACAATAAAAAAAATGCAATAAATGAATTAATAAAATAAAATTAATTACAAGATAAATTATTATTTATTATTGTTTTAAATATGAATAACAATTAAAATAAAATGTTATTTAATTTAAAAAATGTATTTAAATAAATACAAAATAACCAAATAAAACAAAATAAAATTCTGATTTGTTGATTATTAAAAGTACAAATGTATAGTTCAACAGTTGCCTGATCCTAGAAATGCTGGTTAAGACACACATTGCACAAAAAAATGATGTTTTTTGATAGGGACGTACCTTTGGTGTCTCCACTTTAATGACACTGGAAGGTCTGCAAAGACAAAAGAAACATTGATTGTAAGACTTCACAAACACAGTGATCTGCTGAAGAAATAAAAGTCAATATGTAAATAAAATCACACACATTTGAAGTATAGATCAGTTTACAGTATATGTGTGTGTGTGTGTGTGTGTGTGTGTCATATCAGGACAAACATTTTTTCAAGAATTTTCAGAAATTAAAGGATGTTAGTATGCTTTACATGTATTAAAATGATTAAATTACTTTTATTTATTACGTATAATAATACTGAAATAATCAACTATTACATTTAGTGTAAGATACATTTGTTTCCCATCACTGTGAGCCAGTCTGAACTCTGACAGAGTCAACAAAACTCCAGTAAAGATCATCAGGGTTTCTGTATGAAGACGTTTTTCCTTCTGGAGAGCCGCAGAATATTCTGGTTCATCATCCATTCTCATCACAGCGTCTAGACGGCTTCATTAATCAACATCACATTCCTCTGAAATGACCTCCGTCCTTGTGCTGGCGACACACAGACCACAGTTCCTCCACATATCTGCCATATTTAGCCATGGGCTGGTATAATATTCTGATAGTATGATAACCAATTAATAGATTAAAATATCAGGGTTTAATTGAGATTACTGATCTTGAATATGCTCTTTATAGGTGTCTGGGTAAAAACAACAACATCTTTTCCCGCATTGAACACAACATATTCATATACATTTAAAATATTTTGAGGCAGTAAACATGTTGGGCTTCATAATTAAAATAAATCACTGACTTCTGATGAAACCATGACTTCTCCAAACAGCAGGAAACCTTGAAACAGGTGATCATCTCATGCCTTGCCATATTAGGAAGACTGAGTGCTTTCTGCAAGGGTTAAAGGTGGAAACGCAATGAAAACAGTGGCGGACGGAAGTTACGGATTCTCACACAAAGAGCAATGATCAACACTCGAGGGACGAACATGAACAATGAACACAGCAGAGAGGAAGCAGACGGTGTGGAAACGGCTCGGGTCAGACTGCTGATTACATCTGAACACAATGATCAGGGTCCATGGGTTCACTGATATTAACGGGGAAATTAAATATCAATAAAATACTGTAAAAATAATAATAATTAGAATGTAAAATTAAATTAAAGTAAAAAATTGTAAATAATAAATAATAATAAATTAAAGTAAATACATTTGTTGGTTTATTTACCATGGACAATACACTTGACAGAGCTATGCAAAAACAATAATAATGAAAAAATAATGTAAAAAACAAAAGTAAAAACAATGTAAAAATATGATTAAAAAATAATAATAATAATGGAAAAAATCATAATGGAAAAAATCAAATGTAAGTGTAAAAAAAAAAATAAATAAAAATAAATAAATCAAACTGCTGATTACATCTGTGCACAATGATCCGGGTCCGTGGGTTCACTTATAATGATGGGTTGCAACTGGAAGGGCGTATGCTTATCAGTATAAATTGGCAGTTCATTTCACTGTGGTGACCCCAGATTATTAAAGAGATTAAGCCGAAAAGAAAACAAATGAATATATAAAGTCATTGTTAATGGTTTTGTTATCATATTTTATTTATTTTTTATTTTTTCAGGTATAAAATGTTGGTTTTAGGGTCAGTCTAACAACGTAGCATGATAAAATATTAATATCATGTTTAATAAAAATGGAATGAAAATGTTAAGCTCTAATCAAAACTCAGCAGGAGGTCTGAATACAGGCTCACGAAACACACACACACACACACACACACACACACACACACACACACACACACACACACACACACACACACACACACACACACACACAAACACAAACACACACACACACACACACACACACACACACACACACACACACACACACACACACACACTAATGTCTCCTCCAGACAGTGAGGTCAGTAACTATGAGCAGGACCAGATCAGCGCTGCTGTTTTTCAGCTCATGAAGCTCTGATGTCAAGAACCTGTCTTTTCCCCCATCTTCTCAAGAAAATGACTTTTTATTCCACACAACCAACACACACCAACGACATTTCAAGAGATTGATTATCAGCTCCAGCGGGAACCTCTGAAAATAAAAACATCACATATAACAGGAAGACCTGAGATAAAGTGTTTGATGACACAGCAGAAACGCTGAAGAGGGTTTGGAGCTTACAGCAGCAGCATCAACACTCTGACAGAACAGAGGAGAGAACAACTGAACAAATAAACAAACAACTAAATAAATAAACAAACAAACTGAACAATTAAACTGATCAACTGAACAACAGATCAATATAATAAATTAACCGAACATTTGAACAACTGAATAGCTGAACATCTGAAGTGAAAAAATACATAATTGAACAACTGAACAGAACACATGAACAACTAAACACATGAACAACCGAATACTTGAACAACTGAATACCTGAGCACATGAGCACATAAACACCTGAACACATGGACACCTGAACTGAACAATGAAAATCAGATCTGAACAACTGAACAACAGAACAACTGAATAATAGACCAATTAAATAACTAAACAGATGAAGTTTAACAACTGAATTATTGGACAATTAAACAATTGAACAAATGAACATCTGAACTGAAGAATGAACAAATGAAGAACTGAACAATTGAACAACTTAACATTTGAACAACTGAACAATTGAACTGAATATCTAAACACCTGAACAAATGATTGAACAATTGAACAACTGAACATCTGAACACTTGAACACTTGAACTGAAAATCTCAACACCTGAACGACTGATTGAACAACTGAACAATTGAACAACTGAACATCTGAACTGAACAACTGAACATCTGAACAATTGAACTAAAAAAATCTGAACACCTGAACGAATGATTGAACAACTGAACAATTGAACAACTGAACATCTGAACACTTGAACAATTGAACTGAAAAGCTCAACACCTGAACGACTGATTGAACAACTGAACAATTGAACATCTGAATTGAACAACTGAACATCTGAACAATTGAACTAAAAAAATCTGAATACCTGAACGAATGATTGAACAACTGAAAAATTGAACAACTGAACATCTGAACACTTGAACAATTGAACTGAAAAGCTCAACACCTGAACGAATGATTGAACAACTGAACAATTGAACAACTGAACTGAACAACTGAACATCTGAACAATTGAACTAAAAAAATCTGAACACCTGAATGAATGATTGAACAACTGAACAAAAAATCTGACCACCTGAACAACTGATTGAACAACTGAACAATTGAACAACATTTAAACTGAAGAATGAACAAATAAAGAATTGAACAATTGAACAACTCAACACATGAACACCTGAACAATTGAACAACTGAACACCTGAACAGTTGAACTGAAAATCTGAACACCTGAAAGACTGATTAAACAATTGAACAACTGAACATCTGAACTGAACAACTGAACACTTGAACAACTGAACACCTGAACAACTGAACTAAACGACTGATTGAACAATTGAAAAACTAAGCAATTGAACAACTGAACATCTGAACTGAACAACTGAACAATTGAACAACTGAACACCTGAACAACTGAACTGAACGAATGATTGAACAATTGAAAAACTAAACAAATGAACAACTGAACATCTGAACTGAACAACTGAACAATTGAACAACTGAACACCTGAACAACTGAACTGAACACCTAAACAACAGATCAATAGAATAACTGAACTGAACAATGGAACAACTTAACAATTGAACACCTGAACAGAACATCTAAACACTTGAAAAACTGAACTGAACAATTTAACATCTGAACTGAATAAATGAACAACTGAACAAATGATCAACAGAACAACTGAACTGAACAGCTGAACTGAACACCTGAACAATTGAACAGCTGAAGAGTCGAACAGCTGAATTGAACAAATAAAGAACAGATCTGAACAACTAAGCACTTGAACAACTGAACACCGGAATAATTGATTAATAGAACAACTGAACTGAACACTTAAGAAAAAAAGAGAAAGAAATAAAGAAAGAAAGAAAGAAAGAAAGAAAGAAAGAAATTTAATTTGAAAATAAAATAGCCCAGGAGGACTGAGTTCATTTTACAAATGTGTGTGCACCTCTTTTGTAAAAATAAATAAATAAATAAATAAATAAATAAATAAATAAATAAATAAAATAGCCTTAATTAAAATGTAATCTAATAAAATCCACAATAAAATAAACAAAAAGCAAAATTTTAATAAATATTAAAATAAATGTCAATAAAATGGCACTTGACATCTCTGAAAAATAAAAACTCTGCAGCTGATTTGACAAGAGGTCTACTAGAGAGACTTTCTGAAAGAAGTAAACAAAGAAATCAAGCATGCGCTGACAGAGCGAAAACAACAGCGCAGCAGCTGATCCGTGTGATGAAAACATCTCAACAGGGAGCCGAACACGGAAACATCCCATAAAACTTCACGTGAAGTTTCCAGAAAAACACACACACAAACATGTCATCTGTGTTTCTGCTCAGAGCTTTGAGCCGCTGCTGTTTGCAGAAGAGGAATAATCTGTGCTTTAGAGTTTAGGAGTCTCCTGACGCTCTAAAAACACACTGAGACGCATAAAGAGATGGTGGTGCAGAAAGTGTGTGTTTTTTTTATGTCATAATGCTGAAGCACACGGATCAGGTTTACACATTCAGCTGGAGGACAAACCATCCTGCCAGAACAGGAGGATTTCAGGGAAACCCAAACACTGCATTAAAACTGTTTATTAGGACAATATATGTGTGTGTTGTAGCGAAATGAGAATGTAGTTCACATTTACGGAGTTTAATAAAATAAAATAAAATAAAATAAAATAAAATAAAAATTAAACTACATCAAATCAAAATACATCAATTAAATAAAATAAATCAAATTAAATTAAATTAATTAAATTAAATTAAATTAAATTAAATTAAATTAAATTAAATTAAATTAAATTAAATTAAATTAAATTAAATTAAATTAAAATCCAAATTTACTTTGAATTGTATTTCACAGAAGACAATAATAAAATGAATAAAAATATATAAAAAAAAAGTGGGACAGGAGCAGTTTAGGGCTAGAGATCACATAATAACATAATTAAAAAATGCTAGGAATTTCAGTGTGTAAAGGACAAGGCCGCAAGCCTAAGCTGTACAACCGTGATCACCGATCCCTCAGGCGGTGCTGCAAAACATTTCATAGGTAATATTAATTTTTTTCTGTTTTTTTATGTTCTGAACTCTTGTGCTAATCAGGTCACGTTATTGATGATAACAGTCACTTACTGCATTCACCATACGGCAAAGCAGCTCCAACTCGCACTAAACACTCGGCTTATGCTGAAGAAAATCAGCAAACAATGCAAAAGAAATATGACAACGAGATGCTGCGCTGCCAGAAACTTGTATTATTGTCGGCTAACGTTAGTGAAAGAGTCGTTCGGGGGATTCATTCACAAACGAATCGCTCCCTCCGTCAGTATGAGCAGTGAAAGCGGTAGAGGAGCTGTGTTTCAGGACATGATTAGATCAAATTTAACAGGGAGGGTGAATAGTACATTTCTGTACACACAAACACAAGCTTTTAGTCAGGAATGCCCGTGCGGTCACTCATCCATCAATGTAGAAAAGTGATGCAAAATCATAAGTTTTCGTAATTAGAAAAAAAAAATTACATACTAACATCCAGGAAAACTCCCGATCACAGATATATGTGTATATGTGTATATCTCTGGCTTTGGATGGCCACAGTCCTCCACTGTACCTTGGTCCTGCATTCATTTCAAAGGAGCGCTACCCTGTAGCAAGATGGCGGCGCTATTGACGCATTCCGTCCAATAGACAACAATAGGCCAGGTGACATCTAATGTATATATCGATGAGAAATGACAACATTACAAAGTGATGAATGCTTAACTGTTCCAACTTTTTTTTTATAATGTGTTGCAGGAACCAAATTTGATTACGTAGGATTACGTATTAATAAATAAAAAATAAATAAACAAGCAAACAAACATTAAAAATCATGAGGAACACAATAAATAATGTTTGTTGTATTGTCTAAATGAAATACAAGTCAATTAAATGTGGAAATCTCTACTTTCTTTTTCATTCACGCTTTCCATACGGTCCCAACTTTTTTCGTTTCTGGGATTGTAGTTAGCACAACCCCAAACAGAATTAAAACTTTGTAAAAAGCATAATCAGACACCTTTAGGACTGCAATACACAGCTTTTGACTCAATTTTACCTGATTTACAGTCTGATCAAACTAAAACTAGTCTAGTCTGCAGCATTACATAAAAAACAGACTGCACACTCAACAGCTCAAAGTACATCTTTCAGAAACTGTGTATTAAGCAGCGAGTAGTTGTGGGTGGTTTGGGATCTCCGAGTAAACGCTGCTCTTCTTAATGCGATGTTATCTCAACAGTAAAGCTGAAGTGCTGTTTGATGGCCTTTGCAGATTCACTGACAAACGCTCTGAAAGACTTTAATGGGAGATTCCAGAGCTCGTGCGCAATCGCTCTCGGCTAAATGTGCTTTCAGAGGCTCGTAACTCCAGAACATATGACCGTCCTCACACTGATCCCAGACCAGCTTCAGTTCACAACTAAACTAAATAAATGATTGAACAACATAAGAGCTCAGTAAAGGAGGATATAACTCTTTAAAGTCACTAGTTTGTCAGTTGGTGTTTCTGTGTGGAGTTTGCATGTTCTCCCAGTGTTGGTGTGGGTTTCCTCTGGGTGCTCCGGTTTTCCCACACAGTCCAAACACATGCGCTATAGGGGGATTGATCAACTACATTGGCTGTAGTGTATGAGTGTGTGTATGGGTGTTGCAGATGGAAGGGCATCCACTGTGTTAAGCATATGCTGGATATGTTGGCGGTTCATTCCACAGTGGTGACCCCAGATTAATAAGAGACGAAGCCAAAGGAAACTGAATGAATTAGATTAGTGATGTCCATGTAAACACAGTCACTGTCTAATAACTGTGCTGATAGATGAGCAACAGTGGCGATGAAGACTGAGCAGAAAAACAGGCTGACACACACACACACATCTTGACTGCATTATAGAGTGTGTGTGTCCCAGGACGGAGAGAGAGAGGCCTCCCGGAGGGACAGAGGCGGCCAAAAGCTGCGTGAACAAACACATGCACCGCTCTGGAGACTCATATTCACACAATGCCTGATCAGATGTGCACACGCAGGAGCTGCACTGTCAATGAGAGATCAGCAGAGCAAACACACACACACACACACACTGCTGCTGCTTCACTGATCTGATCGAGTCTCTTACACCAGATTATTCCATTAAAGACGCATTAAAACACTTCTGCAATCTAACATAGCTGTTTTCTGTTAGTGCTGCACAATATACTGTGATGTAATCGCTATCGTTATAATTGCATGTGCACTAAACACAGCGCAGACAAGTGTGATACATTACATTTATTAATACAGTATGTGTGTGTACAGTAAGAGTACAGTGTGTGTGTGTGTCACCTCATGAGTGAGAGGTTGAGGTTCCCGCTGCAGGCTTTGATCTTGTTCTGGGCCTCCAGGTGTGTCATTCTCTCAGTGTGGATGCCGTCGATGGACAGAACCACATCACCAACACTGATCTTGGCTTTAGCCGCCTTTCCTCCATCTGTCAACTACACAACACACAAAAACACACACAGCATTATAAATGTGGAAAACTGTGATTGGGTGGAGCTTGAGGGCACTATGATAGGTTAGCACCATACAGTTGAGTGGGTGGAGTCTACTAGATTTCTGAGTCTCAAGATTTTAGTCTTCCCTGTAAATTTTTGAACATTGAGTAGGGGGCGGGGCTTTATTTCTGCATGATACTACATTTTCCAACTGTAACAGAATATTCAGTTGGGGGCGGGGCTTTATTTCTGCATGATGCTACATTTTCCAACAGTAACAGAATATTCAGTTGGGGGCGGGGCTTTATTTCTGCATGATGCTACATTTTCCAACTGTAACAGAATATTGAGTAGGGGGCGGGGCTTTATTTCTGCATGATGCTACATTTTCCAATAGTAATAAAAGTTTCAGTTGGAGGCGGGGCTTTTTTTTCTGCATGATACATTTTCCAACTGTAACAGAATATTGAGTAGGGGCGGGGCTTTATTTCTGCATGAGGCTACATTTTCCAACTGTAAAAGAATATTAAGTAGGGGGCGGGGCTTTATTTCTGCATGATGCTACATTTTCCAATAGTAATAAAAGTTTCAGTTGGAGGCGGGGCTTTTTTTTCTGCATGATACATTTTCCAACTGTAACAGAATATTGAGTAGGGGCGGGGCTTTATTTCTGCATGAGGCTACATTTTCCAACTGTAACAGAATATTGAGTAGGGGCGGGGCTTTATTTCTGCATGAGGCTACATTTTCCAACTGTAAAAGAATATTAAGTAGGGGGCGGGGCTTTATTTCTGCATGATGCTACATTTTTTAACCATAAATGAATATTGAGTAGGGGGTGGGGCTTTATTTCTGCATGATACATTTTCTAACCATAAATGAATATTGAGTAGAGGGTAGGGCTTTATTTCTGCACGATACTACATTTTCCAACTGTAACCGAATATTGAGTAGTGGGCGGGGCTTTATTTCTACATGATACATTTTCCAACTGTAACAGAATATTGAGTAGGGGGCGGGGCTTTATTTCTGCATGATACATTTTCCAATATATATATATATGAAATATATAACAAACAAACTAAAATCTTAGGATGATCTGGAAAAATTAAACAGCGAGATATGAAATGGTTAAACTGAAAACTCACAGCACTCTTTCTCCTTTTTAAAGCCAAGGACATCTATAAACTGATCTGAAGACTAATGATGAGCGATAGCGTTTTAAACACCCATCTGTGTTCACACACACACACAATAACACACACACAACCAGAGACATCTGCGTCATCTGGGAAACCTTCACCTGCACACTCATAAAACTGATCTGAGGTCAGGGTGCATACTGGACACGTCACCGTAGACTACACACACATCAAACTAATCATGCATCCAGCAGGACTGGTACTCAGTGAAGTGTGTGTGTGAACAGGTAGATCTGATTTTCAGGTGTGTGTGAGGCGTTACTCAGCCATGCGTGAGGAACATCAGTCACTCATCACTTCACCTCACTGCACATCTGCTGAGCAACACACACAACTGATGCACAAACACACCTCCTGAGAGAAACCATCACACAGCACAGCTAAAACAACACACACTCGCCCACAGACACACTCATGCGCACATACAAACTCGCACATTCAATCAAACAAACAAACAAACAAACAAACAAACAAACAAACAAACAAACACATGCACATATTGACTTTCCTTAAAATGAGTGAGCTGATCTGTTGCTTTTAAAGTTATTAAGTGACTTGAAATCAATGAATCATTTTAAAAGCAACAGGTTTACTCACTTATTTTAAGTAAAGGCAACTAATCTTTGTTTACAGTGCACTGATTCACAGCAGATAAGCATGATAAACTCCGGCTTAAATCTGATTAGAAAGCAAACGAGACAGATTTCCTTTGTTGTGTATAAAACGAAGCTTTGACCGGCCCTCATCACATGTGTTTTGCAGATGAGCATCTCTAGAAAGCCAAGCAGATGAGATTCACCCTCTTCCTATTGGCAGACGCTGAACACCGCAGAACAGTGCTGATGTGTGTGTGTGTGTGTGTGGTGTCGGGCTGTAAACACTAATGATCGGTTGCTCAGCTTCTCCGGTCGCTCGGTTCTCCTTTTATAGCCGTCTGAGGGCATCGTGGGCCACATCACATGCTTATCACAGAAACCAGGCCACAGAGACCAGCACAACACAGCAGAGACATTCTCATGACGCAAACCTTCATCTGATGCTTCATATAAGATTACCCTGTTCCCAACCTACTGTAACACTGAGCAACCAGAATTAAAACACTACTAGAACAGACATGGCAGACCGTTCTCATTTAAAATATCATATTATGTACAGTTAGCGTCAGAATTATGAGCCCGCATGTATATAACTGAGGGTGCGGCGGGTGAGGGTATTGTTGTGGACGCCGCCCTCTCTATTCTGCCGCACTAGACGCGGATATAACTGAGGGTGCGGGTGGTGAGGGTATTGTTGTGGACGCCGCCCTCTCTATTCTGCCGCACTAGACGCGGATATAACTGAGGGTGCGGGTGGTGAGGGTAGTGTCGCGGACGCCGCCTTCTCTATTCTACCACACTAGACGCGGATATAACTGAGGGTGCGGTGGGTGAGGGTAGTGTCTGGGACGCTGCCCTCTCTATTCTACCACACTAGACGCGGATATAACTGAGGGTGCGGTGGGTGAGGGTAGTGTCTGGGACGCTGCCCTCTCTATTCTACCACACTAGACGCGGATATAACTGAGGGTGCGGTGGGTGAGGGTAGTGTCTGGGACGCTGCCCTCTCTATTCTACCACACTAGACGCGGATATAACTGAGGGTGCGGTGGGTGAGGGTAGTGTCTGGGACGCTGCCCTCTCTATTCTACCACACTAGACGCGGATATAACTGAGGGTGCGGTGGGTGAGGGTAGTGTCTGGGACGCTGCCCTCTCTATTCTACCACACTAGACGCGGATATAACTGAGGGTGCGGTGGGTGAGGGTAGTGTCGGGGACGCCGCCCTCTCTATTCTGCCGCCCTAGACGCGGATATAACTGAGGGTGCGGATGGTGAGGGTAGTGTCGGGGACGCCGCCCTCTCTATTCTTCTGTTCTGCTGCCCTAGACGCGGATATAACTGAGGTTGCGATGGGTGAGGGTAGTGTCGCGGACGCCGCCTTCTCTATTCTGCCACACTAGACGCGGATATAACTGAGGGTGCGGTGGGTGAGGGTAGTGTCTGGGACGCTGCCCTCTCTATTCTACCACACTAGACGCGGATATAACTGAGGGCGTAGGTGGTGAGGGTAGTGTCGGGGACGCCGCCCTCTCTATTCTACCATACTAGACGCGGATATAACTGAGGGTGCGGTGGGTGAGGGTAGTGTCTGGGACGCTGCCCTCTCTATTCTACCATACTAGACGTGGATATAACTGAGGGCGTAGGTGGTGAGAGTAGTGTCGTGGACGCTGCCCTCTCTATTCTACCATACTAGACGTGGATATAACTGAGGGTGCGGGTGGTGAGGGTAGTGTCACGGACGCCGCCCTCTCTATTCTTCTGTTCTGCCGCCCTAGACGCTGATATAACTGAGGGTGCGGGTGGTGAGGGTAGTGTCCGTCCAACATCTGCATTAGCAGGAGGATAAAGATGACCCCAGGGTGGACATTTCAGCAAGACAATGATCCAAAACACCGCCAAGGAGACTCAGATGCTTTCAGACAAAGAAAATCAAGCTGTAGAATGGCCCAGCCAATCACCTGACCTGAATCCAATAGAGAATACAGAATAAAGCTCAGATTTGATAGACGAGATTAACAGATGCAGCAAGACTTTGACACTCTGTTGAAGTCTGGGAGAAACTCACACCAGGGCAATGCATGTGACTTCCTTCTCCACATGAGATGCATCTATAAAATCTGCTTTAATTCCATGTTAACAGCTCCTTTAGGAATATTGTTCCCAGGAAAAAAAACATGACGTGTTGAACACTTATTTCTCACAACTGTAAATAAGCAACATATCCAACACAATCCAGTGGTTTTCAGATACTCTAATAAAAAGATCATACAGATTATGCCTCTAATCTAACCTGAAGGCACAATTGAGGGATATAATGAGAGAGACGTGAGCACAGCCAGAGGAAAACACCAGCCATGTGAAGAATTATAAGTGTGGTGGATCCCAATAATGACAGAGAAGCCCTTCGGAGTCATTGATGAAGAACGAAAAGGGCCACATGTTGACGTGAGCTATGCTAAACCAGACTAAATGAGACATTAGTTTGGGTTCAGGCGTGGACGGCAGCCAAACGCCTCCATGTGCAGCTCTCCAATTAGCCACAGAATTAAATTAAGGTGAAATTCGCCATAAAGACGTCTGATGATGAACCCACGGATGATCATTATGCGCTCCCCGTGCACCATATGTCAAAACGTCATCTGTAAATCTGCCAGTGTGTACGAAAGGCTGTTGTCAAAACAAGGCCGGAGGGAAGTTTCCATGCCTCTTGTGTACACTGTATATATTCATATTAAAAATTGATCAGCTATACAAGCTTTTAAATGTGAGAATTCATCCAAATCATCAGGCTGAGAGGAGATATAGAGTTGTGTATCATCAAACTAACAGTGGAAACTAACAGAAGAGGTTGATTTATTATCCCTCCTGTATTGTTCCCCCATTTTCCAACAGAAAGACGCATTTCTAATCATAATAGTTTTAATAACTCATTTCATAACTGAGTTATTTTCTCTTTGTCATGATGACAGCAGATAATATTAGACTAGATATTCTTCAAGACACTAGTATTCATCTTAAAGTGACATTTAAGGGCTTCACTAGGGTAATTAGGGTAAAGTTAGGGTAATTAGGCAAGTCATTGTATAACAGTGGTTTGTTCTGGAGACAATCCAAAACTAATATTGCTTAATATTACTAATATTGACCTTAAAATGGGTTTAAAACAATTAAAAACTGCTTTCATTCTAGTCGAAAT